CCTTCGGCGGGCGTGCGTGGCTGGCCGGAGCGCGGAGGAGCCGGCGGCGCGGTGGCGACGCTCAGAGCACCCACGCGACCAGCCTCCTAGCTCCTGCCGCCTTTACCTTGCCGGGAGAAGAGCGATTCTTTGATTTCAGGTGCTTTGCGTGTGGCCTCCCAAAGAACGCCGTAAATATGCAAGGGGGTCTTTTTCTTTCCGAGCTTGCTATTAGCGTTATCAATTTAATACTTTAAAAGTCTTAAAATAGGGCATGCTCACTCATCTTTGCTTAATAAACGAAACCGCTTACGTTTGTTTATTTTCTTTCCCCAGTGACTCACCTCGAGTTAAATAAAATGCTCTGTGGTTTGAAACTTGTCCTGGGAAACTGGCGGGGATGAAGTTAGTAAGCTTGCTAGTGAGGAAAGCAGCGCAGCCGTGTGATGGATGCTTTCATTCATTCAAACACTGGGCAAATGTTAGCTGTTTTCTGTGTCCAGGCATTGTGCTTTGCGCTTCGATGCTAGAGGAACTTACAAAGTGTTTAAAATTTCTAATAGCCTTGTACATTTGGGAAAGGGGAGATGTGGAAGAGAAAAAAATGTTGCAGGTTATATTGGTACATTATGGCTTTAGTAGAAATAGGACTCAGAAGGTCTACTCACCTTATAATCTGAAATAACTACATAGCACTAAATGTGTCCAAGCCTGAAATCATTTGGCCAGATTATCATTCTCAATTAAATTCTTGCTGGGTTGAAAATCAAGAAAATCAAGAAAATCTTGATTTTCTCGGGCTCTTTTGGTATGATAGTGGAGAAAAAATGAAAAGTCCAGAAATACTTTCTTAAATAACAGTGTTATGGGCTGAATAGAATATGTGTGCATGTGCAAATATCTAATCTGTGGTGTTCCTTAAATACACCTAATTCCTGCAATTATTATCATAGTGGTAAGATTTTTTTAAAAATACATTTAGCATATATTTACTAAGATGTATTATTATAAGTACACCCAAGAGTTATGAAGTATAGAGCTGCAAATGATGAACAGGTCAAATGGAAGTAGTATAGAATTTGAGATCTAATACTTGGTCGTTTATAGTTTAGAGGGATAAAAAAAATCAACCCTCAATATTTTTAGGTTTAAAGAGTACTTTTTGTTTTTGGGAAAGTGGAGGGAAATAGTATCAGTCCAACACATATCTCAAACTAGTGGGCCAAGCTCTTGCCAAAATGTTTTGATTCAGTCCTTCTTTAAGTTGCTGTCATTTAAAGGTCAGGAAGTTTCACAAAAAAATCTAGATTTCTTGAAAAATCAGATTTAGAAAAACTGCATCTGTACATGGCAGTCATAGAAGGCAGTAGTCACTTGTGATTTGCAACTGTCTTCTCTGTGAAGAGAAAACCTCTCCAGTCTTCCACTTTACCACCTCTGTCTAGCCTCTCCAGCACTGAGGCTTAGTGTCAGTTGCCTTTTATCATTTTATCTTTATTTTATTTAGGACATATTTTATTTAGTTATGTCAGCCTGCTTGGCATTTGAATTTGCAATTTCAGCTGTAATAGGTAAGTGGGAGGAAGGACCTTAATTTATGATATTGTTTCCAAAAGAAAGTGTCATATTGAGTCCAACCATACAGTGCTGTGAAGGACAGTTTTGTCAAGAAGCATGGTTACCTTCCATGATGTCAGTCTCAGAACATGAACACCTCAAATAACCCTAGAGTTCCTTAACTTGGGTGAGCTGTAATTTTGTCATCTGAATAACCTGCATGATCACAGTATTCCCTGTCCTACCTCCCATCTGGGATTATGGTGAAATTTGACAATGAAATATGAAAGTGCTTTGTAAACTGTTAAATCATTAAACGAAACTTTTTATCTGGAGGTATAGATTTACTTTTACTCCCAGTGACATCTCTTCCCAAAGGTTTTTTGTTTTGTTTTGTTTTTTAAGAGAAGAAATATATATGGCCATAGATAAGACATATTCTGATTGGGATAGATTTAGAAAAGAATTTTTTAAATGTACGATTGCCCTTTTAAACTATAGAATAATTTGAAATGAGTTTTTTTGGGGCGGGAAAGAAATGAGGGAGAGGTGGGGATGATGTTTGTAAAAGAGGAAAGATATGAGAGGTGAGAAACGACCTTTGCTAAACCCTGATGCTTAACAAACTTAGCTTTACTGCATTAGATTTGAATTATTACAGTCATTGAATTTGGAGTCAGATGTCTGCTTTTATTTTTTTTTTTTTGAAATAAAAAAAGCATTTTCCCAGGGATTTCTAAAGATTTTAGAAATGTATCTCAGATATGTTCTCAGTCTATTTGATCCAATTGGAAGACTCTTGTTAAGTTCTCTGTATTTTTGTTTTTTAAGAAATTTTCTTATAAGAGCAGTTCCTGATGGTTATACTTTGGATCCAGTCTCTTCCAAGTAAAATTCTGTTCATTGTTATATATGAGTCCTAGTGGGTATTATATATGTTGTGACAGAATAACCACACTGAAGATTTTTAGCCTTTATTCCTCTATATTCATATCCAAAACAGTTGGGATCTTCAAACCCATACTGCTATGTTCTCCTCCTACTCTACCCATCTGCCCATTTTTCAGAGCTTTTTCTGTCACAAAACCAGAGGATCTGCCACAGGAAAGGCAGCTGTAGCCGTGCATGAGGGTGGAGGGAAAAGTTCCCGAATCCTGAAATTGGGAACAGAGTACTATCATATATGATTCTTGCCAAACATTGGGTGAATTTGAGCTTGGGCTTCACTTTCTAATGTAAATATTCAGAACTATTTATATTTTCAAGCAATTTTTTATAAACATACTATCTAGAGATTAAAATAAAATACTGCCTTGTGTTACAAACTCTTTCATGCTTCAAGGGGTACCCTTTAGTTCTTTTTTTTTTTGAAATTTACAGTCATCTCGTATGAGTCACTCATGAGTTTTTAATCTTTAATTTTATTTCCCGAATGTACATATTAATGACAGAGGAGTATAAACATCATTAATCTTTTTGAGATTCATTAATTATCTGAGTTTCTTAGAACAGTTTTTATTTTTTAATAGTATAGGTACCAAAACTAATACTTATGTTTGACCTCAGTAGCCAAATAAAGTCCCAATGTCTCTGACATGTTGACACTGAAACAGTATTATGAGAGCTTCATTTACGATCCAGAGATCCGTACATCTCACCCTACCTCTGGTTTCTGTCATACTTGATAATGACCCAGATAATTTCACATACCCTCGTCGCCACACTTTCTTCATCCGTTGATTTTCTCATTATCAGCCTTCTCTGGATACATCAACTTTTTCTCTGGACTCCCCATATATGATATAAATAAAACTATGCCCTCATCTTCTCACAAAACATTCCTCCTAGTGATACATGGAACCTGGTTCTCCCTGAGTACACTGCTGTCCTAGCAGCTCACCACAGTGAAAGCAGTGCCCCACATACCACGGGTGGCATCAGTATTCCCCATCTCCTTATTGCCATTGCTTGGCCATTCCATCCCAGTCTTGTAAAACACAACAGAAATTCTCCTCTAATTATACCTTTTACCTCTCCTTTCACTGTCGTTTATCAGCTTCCTGGTCACTCCTTCACGTTCATTAAGGAATTTAGTACCCAATTCAGTCTTTTTTACTCAATTCCTTCAAGATCATGGTGAAACTAAAGCAGTCATGCACATCACAGGTCTAGCACTCCAAATTCTTATAACTTATTGCCATGACTGACTGTCT